GGCAACAGTTGTTAGTTCAGGGTGAATCTTTCTCAGGAAAAAAAAAAAAAAAAGACAAATGACCCCTTTAAAAATAGGCAAAAGATTTAAATCAACATTTCACCAAAGAAGATAATACGAATGACTTATGAGCAAATAAAAAGATGCTCAACATCATTAATCATTAGAGAAATTAACCCACATGAGATACCACTACATACACCCTTTGATGACTACAGTTAAAAAGACTGACAACACCAAGTGCTGACAAGAGTGTGGAGAAACTGGAACCTTCATACATTGCTGGTGGCAATGTAGAATGGTACAGTCACTCTGGAAAACATTTTGACAGTTTCTTACGAAATTAAGCATAAGCTTACCATACAGCCCAACACTTTCACTCCTAGGTATGGACCCAAGAGAAACGAAAACATGTGTTCACATAAAGAATTGTACAGAAATGTACATAAAAGCATTATTCATAATAGGCAAAAACCGGAAACAATCCAAATGTCCATCAACTGGTGAACGGATAAAGAAAACGTCATATACTCAGACAATGGAATACTATTCATAAAAAGGAAGAAACTACTGATATATGCAACAACATGGATAAATGTCAAAAATATGCCAAGTGCAGGAAACCAGACAGAAAAGATTACATATTTTATGTGTAAGTTTCCCATTGCTGCTGTAATAAATGACCACAAACTTAGTAGCTTAAAACAATACACATTTATTATCTTGTAGTTCTAGAAATCAGAAATCAGAAATGACTCTTATGGGGCTTAAAATCAAGGTGTCAGCACAGCTGCATTTTTAGGATCCAGGGAGAATCTCTTTCCTTGCCTGTTCCAGCTTCTGGAAGCCACCTGCATTCCTTGGCTCATGGTCCCTTTCTCCATCTTCAAAGCCAGCAGTGTGGCATCTTCCAATTTCTCTCTCTGATTCCCTCAACACATTACCTTCTCTGACTCTGATCCTCTTGCTTCCTCTTAAAAGGACCATTACCTTGGGTCCACTCGGATAATCCAGGATAATCTTCCTATCTCAAGATCCTTAACTTAATCACATATGCAAAATCCCTTTTACTTCATGTAGGGTAATGTATTCACAGGTTCCAGGATTAGAATGTGAACATCTTTGGGGGTAACTACTCAGCCTACTACATTGTACAGTCCATTTATATAGAAATTTTGAGAAAAGGCAAAACAACAGAAACAGAATGCAGATCAGTAGATGGCTGGACTGCAGGTGTGAGCAGGGATTGACTATAAACAGGCACAAAAGAACTTTTGGGGGTTACCATATTTCATTGATTTTAAGATGTACATATTCTTCCCCATAATTTAACACCTGAATTCAGAATATGTCTTACAGTTGATGGCATGGCATGCAATAAGCACCTGAAAAAATGCTCAATGCCATTATCAACGAAATTCAAATTAAAATCACAATGGCACAGAGGTTAAGTTTGTGTGCTCCACTTCAGCAGCCCAGGGTTTGCAGGTTTGGATCCCGGGTGCAGACCTACACACCGCTTATCAAGCTATGCTGTGGCAGGTGTCCCACATACAAAGTAGAGGAAGATGGGGGCCAGCCCGGTGGTGTAGTGGTTGGGTTCATGCGCTCTGCTTCGGCAGCTTGGGGTTCACAGGTTTGGATCCCAAATGTGGACCTAGGCACCATTCATCAAGCCATGCTGTGGCAGCATCCCACATACAAAAAAAAAAAAAAAAAAAGAGGAAGATTGGCACAGGTGTTAGCTCAGAGCCAATCTTCCTCAGCAAAAAGAGGAGGATTGGCAACAGACGCTAGCCCTGGGCCAATCTTCCTCAGCAAAAAGAGGAGGATTGGTAACACATGTTAGCTCAGGGCTAATCTTCCTCAAAAAACAAAACAAAACAAAACAAAAAAACAAAACCACAACTAGATATCACTACCTACCTATGGGACTGGCTAAAATTAAGAAGATTGGCAACACCAAATGTTGGCAAGGATGTGGAGCAAACAGAAAGACATCGCTGTTGTGGTGAATTTTTTAAAAATGTATAGTTGGCAGTTTCTTTGAAAAGCTAAATGTATGTCTTTATGATTATTGCTATACTTAGCAACTCAGTCCCTAGATATTCACCCAAGAGAAATGATGATGTACCTCACAGAGAGTCTAGTACTGGGATCTTCATAGCATTTTATTTATCATAACCAAAAACTGAAAAGAGCCCAGATGTTCACCAACAAGAGAATAAATAAACAAATTGTGGTATATTCACAAAGTAGAAGAGTACGCAGCAGTAAAAAGGGATGAACTCATCAAACACCACAAAATGGATGAACCTCAAAAACATTATGGTGAGTGAAAGAAGCCAGACACAAAAGACTACATACTGTATGATTCCATTTTTATGAAGTTATAGAACAGGGTAATCTGTGGCGCAAAGAATCAGAATAACAGGGTGTGGGTGTGGAGAGTGACTGGAATGAGGCACAAGGGAACTTTCTGGAGTGATGGTGATATTTCATATCTTGCTAGTGCTTTGGGTTAACAGTTGTGTTCACTTAAGATTCATGCAGTTCACTATATATATTTCCCCCCCTCCAAAAAGAAACAAAAAACAAGTGCTAGTTAATGATACTGTCAACTCTAAAGACAAATCCCAGTTATTTCACCCTCAAAATGAGTTTAGTCTATTCCAGAATAGCCAAAAGAATTACAACTCAGGATGTGCACGCTATGGGGAACCACAGGCAAATCTGGAGAACAAAGGAGGGAGCTGCTGTTATACAGAAAAAGGGGGAGCAGGGAGGGGCTGTTCTAAAGGAAAGTCCATTAGGGGAAAGTTGACAGTTCAGGGCAGCAACAGCTTCTCATTGGCTGAGCTGTGGCGTTTCTCATTGGCTGAGCTGCGGTGTTTCTTGTTGGCTGGGCTGTTGCCGGGCAGGGAGGGAAATCTTCCTTCAGTAGTAAATAGTTGTGCTTCCTGAGGAAGATGCAAGTCTGCCTCTTCCTGTTTGGAGTAACTGACGATGTGTGATGGGGCTGAGAGCTCCCCCTGCAGGCCTTCCCGACTCCAACCGAGTTGAGGTTTCTTTTATTAATTTCCACAATAGACATACTGAACTTTTTAAGGGTGAGAGCATTCATGTCTACAACCGTCTTTGAAATTAATCTAAAAATAAGATGGATTGGTGGATGGAGAAATGGACAGATGTATAGATATGGGATAAGATAGATATAACAAAATGTTAATTATAGATACAGATTCTGGGTAGTAGGTAATGGTTATTGTGCAGTTCATTCATCTTTTCTGTATGTTTAAACATTTTATAATAGAATTTTGAAAACATTTGATTGCTCATCTCTGTGTAATTGATAGCAGTTTCTCTCTCGGTGATTTATAAAATAATGGCATCTTACATTCAATGACTTACAGTAATTACAAAGGATGATAATTGCGTGGCTTCTCAAATATCCATATGTCCCTCATTTCCCAGGCTCCTTTGCAGTTAGGTTGGGACCATGTGACTGCTTTCCGCTGGTGGACTGTAACTAATAGTGATGTATGTATCACTTCTGGGCCAAGGCAGTTAACAGCTAGGAGGCTCCATTAATCTCTCCTCCACTGATGGTGACCTCAGAGGCCATGTGTTCCGGAGGTATAGCTAGTGAAGGGGAGCCCCTGACCTTCCCGCCAGTCCACGCATGAGTGGAAAAGCCACTGAAGACTTGGGAGTTGTTGCTCCAGCCTAGCCTAGCCTGACTAACCTTGGAGTGGAGAGCTTTCATTAAAAAAAAAACGAACCAGGGGCCTCCCAATGGCCTGGTGGTGAAGTTCCTTGCACTTAGGAAGGTTCCCAGGTGGACCTACACCACTCCTCAGCAGCCATGCTGTGGCAGCAACCCACATACACAATATAGAGGAAGACTGGCACAGATGTTAGCTCAGGGAAAATCTTTCTCAGCAATAAAAATAAAAACCTCAAATACTAAAACATGGTGCATGTCAGTCATTGCTACCGTCTTAGCTCCAAACTCAGCCTTCTAAGCTCAGCTGTGTGACACTGGTGGGAACTCTGCAGCAAAATTTCAGGCGGTCAGGAGCTCTGCTAACAGGGAGAGCCGGAGGAAGAAGCGAGGCGGGGGAGAGACGCGGGAATTGCCCCCTCAGCCATGCCTCTCCACCGCGGCAGAACAGAGGAGGCAATGGAGGCTCGCGCTGTGTTTGTTACACGCATGACACTGGTTCGGACAGACAGGCCTGGGCAGCGCGAGAGGCACGGAAACACTCGGGAGAGCGCTGGAAGCAAGAGGCGAGAACGGGACGGGGTGGGCCAGTCCGCACGCACCGACGACCAGGCCACTGGAGGCAAAGACGCCCGGTGGTCAGACGCCAACCCAGGACGTGACACCCTCTGCAGGACGCCACGCCTAGAGGCGACCCCAGGGAGACCCGGAATCGCTCCAGAGTGTCCCAGTGGGGGGCAATTAGAGTCTGACGGCTGGTGGAAGAGGAGCTCAGCAACGATGCATTGCGTTACACAGCTTCCACTCCACACCCGCTCCTGGCCGCGACGCCGCACGCCCTCGCTTCCGCTCCCGACACCCTGAGCCCCACCTGACCAGACTTCCCCAGGTCTCACAAGGCCCCGCCGGAAGTCCCTCCTTCGGGCTCCGGACCGCTCTGGCCCGCGCGGGCCCTTCTCGCTGGTGGGCTCGGCGCCGCTCCGCGGCACGGCGCTCCTCCGGCCGCCAGGGGCATGCGAGGCCGCGGCAGGGCCG